GTACAGTTAATGAGAAACCTGTACTTGTGTGCTTGTTTGTTCTGTCTAAAATGTTTATTTTGGAATAAAGAGGTTAATATAAAAAAAATATTTTGTGTCCGATTCATCGATTAATAGAAAAAATAATCGGCCGATTCATCGATTTTCAAAATAATCGTTAGTTGCAGCCCTACTCATTTTTATTATCCATATAATTATACTGGAAAATGAAAACGTTTCCTGCGGTTACCTTACCATTAGAGCACAAGTATTTCATGCATGGGCGTAGGTTTGCATAGGGACCAAAGGGACATGTCCTTACCAAAATTTTGGACTGACCTACTTGTCCCTACCAACAATTACATGTGAATAACATGTTTATAATTTACAATACAGCGTTGTTGCAGCAGTAGAGGAGTTCTGGATGGAGAATATTGACAGACGAAAACATGTTTTATCTAAAATACAAAATGTTTATTTTTTTTTACAATTTTGGTATAATTCCTACTTTAAGTGGGTCGCTCTGTGAGCTAAAGACATGTTTCAGAGTCTCTATACTCGAGTTAATGATTAATCGATTTGTTGACATTATTTCAATAATTGATTCATCCAATGAATTGTTTCAGCCCTAAATAAAATACATGAAATGGGTTAAACAGTAACTGCAGCCTAGATGTACAACTTGTGGAGTGGAGTTAATATCCTCATACCCCATTTACACTACCCTTGAAAAACCGGTCCATGCCTAGACCGGTCCGAGCTCGGATCAGTTAACCAGGCCACACTCGGTTCTGACGACCGTTTACACATCACGCTATCTTGGTTCCTCAACTCCTCGCCTCCTAGTGACGATCTGCGGTATTACTGCCAGTATTGAAGGAGGAAATCAAGCAGTTGGTGGTGGTAATTCATCAAAAGTTGTTTGCCAACCGCCATAATACACAAGAAGAAGAAGACGAAGAAGGAGGGAATAAAGCAAATCAAAATGGCGGCGCCCGTCACATTCGGAAAGTTATGCTTGATTATTATTGCTGTACTTCGGTTTTATTATTTAAAATGCCATTATTCAAAATGTTGCAAAGATTTCGATTGTTGTTTATGAGGACTTCTTCTGTTTTGTGTTGGTCGGCAAGCAACTTCCGGAGGGGCATTACCGCCAACTACTGGAATGGAGTGTGAATCGGGGTGTGCAGCCAGACGGAGATGGCATGTTCTGCTCATGCGCTTCTGTTATCAGAGAACCAAGCCAGGGAAAAACCGAGCCGAGCCCACCTCTGGAACTGGTTTGCAATTAGCTCGGTTTGGTTGTGTCAAGCTCGGTTCAGTTCAGTTTGCTTTCCATTTACACACGATAAGTTATCTCAGTTACTTAGCTTGGACTGGTCTCGGCATGGTTTTTCAAGGGTAGTGTAAATGGGGTATCAGTGTCAGTTCCTCTTCTAGTTCCAGTGCACAAGTAAATATAATACGTTTATTTGGCATCCCTTTAATTTATTATTTTGCTTTGTTTCGTCATAAAAACAGAACATTTAAAATATAAGAGTGGGTTTTACCTTGTTTACCTCTGCACAATTCTATATCTTCAAAATAAAAAAAAGTTTAAATCCACATATAACAGACATATTTAGACTATATTCTGTTAAATAGGCACAGATTTACCTACTGTCTTGGTCACTAGTAATTTCAAATGCAAACCTTTTTCCAAATGGAAAGAAGTCCAATTTCCTCATTCATCAGAGCCAGTTATTGATAAACAGCATCTAGTATGTGTAGTGCTCATAAGATTTGTATAAATGTAGCAAGAAATGCTGCTTTTCTCTGTAAACGAAATACACCCTGATTTTCACGTCAAGCATAAAAAACGAGCATGCATATTTTTGCATAGGACCGATGACATCAGACCAATAGTGTCCCTACCAAAGCTGAAATCAAACATACGCTCATGTGTTATTCAACCAGCAGGCCTGATTGATTCAATGAGGCAGATGTTAGCCTAGCCAGCTGCTGCTGTTACCTTTCGTGGACCGCTTGGGTGTAGCTTTCTTGGGGTTAGAATCCGGGATGAGGACAATCTCCTCTGGATTCCCTCCTTCTTCCTCAATCGCCTGTTTGAGGATAGAAAAGAAAAAAACACTTTGATAGATTGCACAAACACGGTCAGAAACACGGTGACGAAATTAAATGTATGCTCTACGGAGACCAACGGCTCAGTTAGCTTCAGCGCTAGCATTCCGTTTGAATACATTTAGGCAGAAATGCGCTTGATAAACCAACATGAAAACAGCACCGAACCCTCAAATATGTGATGGCTTATTAAATTCGCGATTGTTTCGTTTAATATGACAGAACATTACCTTTTTGAGACGCTCCGACAGCACGCTCTTGACGCCAGTAGTGTCCAGGTTTCGTTTCTTCAGTTCGGCCTTCAGGTCGATGACTCTAAGCTCCGACAGTTTACGGACCTCCGCACCCTCAGCTATCTCCATTTCACCTGATGGATTCGCCATCGTTTAGGTAGGAGAATGATTTCTAGGAGGTTTAAAAGAATGTTCAAAATAAGTGTAATAGACTAGCGCTGCTTCGCAAATGGAAGCAGCGGACTCGGAAAAGCGACAGCAAAATGGCGGACGCGACAGGTCAAGATAACGCAATGCGCATGCGCAGACCAGAACTGTCTGCAGCGCTCCACCACCTCATTGTAAAATGAGGGTTTGACAGAAGAAAACCCGTTACTTCTGAAATAATGTTCATACCTGAGATGGTGAAATTATGAAGAATCCTTATTCTGTTAAGTATTTCATGTTTAAAAATAAAGAAAAAGCATTGACATTTTGTAAAAAAAAAAAAAAAAAAAAAGGAAGCATACTTTTCCATAAAAGGTTGGTATTTGTTGAAAATCTTCCTCCTAGTTTCCAACCTAATTAGAGAAACTGATCTAAAAAATCATTACTGATAACTTTTATGCCAATCTATTATAAAGAAAGCATCTTTGCATTCAAAGAAAATATGCATTGCTGCAGTAAATATAATTTGTAATTTTTCTGGATAAAACATTTGTTAATGTTTTTAAAGTAATGGTTAATAAGAGGGCAAGTGTAAGTCTAAAGAGCTGATATGCCCCCTATGCAATTGTGGACTAGGACGTCTCTTTGCAGATGTAATAGTGCGAAATGCAGAGATGGGAAGTAACGAAGTACAAATACTTTGTTACTGTACTCAAGTAGATTTTTCT